ATATATTCCAAATCTGCTATAATCTTAACAACTGCATGGATTCCGCTCATTTGCGGCTTACAATGCCACAAACGTGTGGAACCCACCAAAAAATTGTGCTGGTACTATTTTGCGGGACACACGGTTTCTTATCACGTGGCTGCCGCAAAAGTTTGAACAATGCACATTAAAGTGCATTGATTTTATGTTTAGAGCGGTTACGCGTGTATTCGTACGGCTGAATACATGCAGACAACCTCTCCTGTGTGAATGGAGTCTTAGTCATAGTTTGCCCCTATGTGCTGCCAGAGTAGCTTGAAAGCAGACACGTGTCCAAGTCGAAAAAATAACCAGGAGGCTAAAATAAGTTTCTGTTCATTGTGTGCCAAACAACCCCTGTGTTGCCAGAACACTGTTTTATGCTGACATTTGGATGAATAAGTATTCGCAAAAAGCACTAAAATGCATTCTGCTGAATAGACATGAGTCCTTGGAAAACTCTCCATTACAGGCGTGCATTGAGGTCTGAAAACAAAGATTATGGGGTAGCCTGCAGGCACGCTGTGCATCAGCATAGCAGCACACACTCCACAGAATATATGTTTTACTAGGCTGACTACACTGCTCTGCTCTTGCAGAGGCAGACAAAATGTAAGCATTGTCACACTAGGGGAAGAAGGCCCTTACTGTAAGTATAAATGGGTGAAAAATTAAGAAAACAAAGCTGGCAGTGAAAAACAAATTTATCAACAAAAAACTAAACTTCTAAAAAGGGTAAACTACAAGAAACTGATTCATATCAGTACATATACTTTAAATTGTGCAGTTTCGACTTGCAAAACTGTTTCTAATAACACAGATCTCTGTGCAAGCATTACATTACAGCAAGTCCCGACAGAATAACACAATCAAGGACAGAAAGATGACTGTCATTCTCAATGAAAGATCTGCATGTATATAGCCTACCTACTGGGGTATGAATTTGCTAACCTGCAGAGCCAGTAGTAATAATGTCATGCCATACTTGTCTCATTACTGCTGAATATCAGCCTACAATATTTCTAGTACAATTACAGCTGAAAGATTTCACCAAGCTGATGTCTTATGGGAGTAAATGGCACATAATGCAATATCCCTTAGGCCTTACTAAATTCTCTTTTTTCTTTGTACTAGTTGATTTTGTCTCTTAGCTCTCTACCTTTTAAATATGTTTTTTTATGAAACATTTTACAGTATATATGTTTGTTTCTAAACTGCTCTTGGTACTAATAAAAAAGGCTAAAATACACATTTTATGTTGCATATCTGTTTTGAGCGTATGGCCATCCAATTACAATTGTGTGTTTATGTGTTATAGCAGTTAAATCTTCATACATTCTAGATGAGAGCTCACAGAAAAATATTTACAGCTCACAAATATTGTCCACATAGTTAGTTTACAAAACTAAGCTGCCATGAAAAAAATGAGGTAATATAATGGGATATGTACTTCTATGGATGAAATCTGAGGACTGTCAGAAATACGTTTTGGAAACTTTATATATTTAAGAATTATCATTAATTAACATGTATATTTAACATTTAATCTGCTCACTACCGTCTAAGAACAACCATCTTAGTCAGCCAGGACTAAGAAAGGCAAGCAATTTACTTTTTATAAACAATAACTGACAATAAGCAGGTATATTTGTAGTCTGGTTTTATGACAAGGGTATGCAATCTCAGAATGGATCTATAATGTTCAAGTGTTATATAAAAATATGTCACATAGAAAAAAATATTGGTACAGATCCTTTTGTATGTTAATATGAGTTAGGCAGACTTGACCATTGAGCTGTAAAAGCAATCCAAAATGAACAACCCTTTTAAAGCTAAATGCACATGTAAAACAAAGTTAAAATATACATGAGAACAATTTAACCTGAAAAAGTACCTATCCTCAACCTTCACTGTGGCAGCAGAAGAACAGCTGGATTAATGCCTTTCCTCTGGCTGTACACATATATGCAGCAGCGGGGCAATTGATCCTTAATGCCAAAACAGAGGCATATATGTATCAGCCGGCTCCTATGTTCCTCTGTCACCATCAGCTCCCAGGCACCGTTTATGATCAGGAGTTGGTGGGATAGAGTCCAGATCATGTGACAGCCAATCACAGTGGTCACGTGATCAGGATGCCAGCCTCCAATTCCTGGCAAGAACTCCTTATGGGGTTGCTGGGATTAAAGACACAACCCTTGTGTGCTGATTGGATAATAAAGGAGCATTAGCACAGATTTTTGTGTTATTTTTTTCAATGAATACATAACTGCATTTTTTATATACTCTATATGAAGTTCAGTGTTTACAAGATAAGTGTACTTTAAAAATATATCCTTTATTCTGAGTTGCAGTCTCCTCAAAATAGTAGTAGCAGTTATTAGTAATACATTGTACAATAATACAGTAATACAACTACAACAATAGTAATAGTAGTTATTTGCAAGTAGTGCTTTAATTGCTGATAACCAGAAAGCCCAGGCCCTAGCCCTCCAACTTGTAAGCCATCTTCTCTTCCTGCAGAAGCTGCTCCCAACCACCACTAGAGGGAACTAAAATGTATATACATACCCTCTGAGGGTATGTGTGATACTATAATAGGAGTGCAGTACTCTCACAACTTGTGCTGATGCTTTAAAGCAGAGGAACCGGCTGCCCTGCAAAATGCTTTCTTTTTAAACAGATTAAACGTTAATATTAATTTTTTTAAAATGTATATAAAATGTATATGTATATAAAACAATTTTTTTTCAATTAGGATAACGTAAGGTTAAGGCTTCTGTCAGATTTTTTTGCGCTTTGTGTCAGGGAGATTACGCTTTACATCCCATCTCATAGACACAACAGGAAGTAACAGAATATCTCTCCAAAATAAAGGCAAATTGCCTCTCATACAACTGTCCCTATTGTAAGATTCCCCCTCATCTCTTGTTCCTGTGACAACTCAAATATATTTAATTTTCCTTCACTTTCTGTACCAGAGGTAATGGTTGCCAGAAAGGGTAAATCTCCCCAGGGGTCTCTTTCAGACAAAAATAAAAAAATTAAAACCACAATACTTGGATAGACGTTTTTTGAAAGTATATTTTGTTGGATACAACATTGATGGTGAATATTGATGGATAGGATCAACAATATTTAAGCATTAGCAGAGACCTGCTGAATATTTGATTTTTAATTTTTTTGTCTTTTTCTTTTTTTGCTTTCTCTTTTGTTTGATTTTTTTCATGACTAGTATATTTTGATATGTTTTGAATAACAAATTTGTTATAACTAAGTATTTGTGAATAATACATGTAAAAACAGTGTTACTTAAGGCTTTTGTTTCTATTGCTTTGTAGAAATTTCTATGCGCCAATAACATAATAATATTGCGTGGTTTACAGAAAAGAGTGCTTTTGCAATAAAAAAAAAAGCCTACAGGAGTACTAACAATTATGTCATATAAAACCTTAAGAAAAAGTTTGGGCTTTACATTCAATAAGTCCAGAAGGAGTAGACAGACTGCCCATTTATCCAGAAACCAAATTTGTGTGTCTTCTTCAAACCAGATACCCCTAGCAATTGTCTTTTTGAGCAGTCTTCAAGGACAAGAATGAAGTACTGAAAGTATATTTAATACTTTAAGACACCAAATTACTGTCTATATGCATCTATCTCTATATACATTTTCGTATATTTGAACATGAGCACAATTGTCTGTAGAAGAAGAATCTTAAACAAGTGTAACACAATGGGAAATGAAGGAACTACTTCCCTTTGACCTCTAAAAAAATTTTTTTGTTGTGTTCCATATCAGTAGCTGGTCAGAATTAGCGACCACACAACTAAGTCTGTGGTAGTCTGCATATACTGTAATAATGATTTGGTTTGTGAATATCTTGCATGCTATAAATGTATTCCATAAACATTTCTGTCAGTAATTCATAATGTTTCCTGTTCAGTTGCATTAGCATTTTTCAACATAAAACTGTTTAAGAATGCTGGTTGCACATTGAAATAGTTAATGTTCCTTCTATGACAAAAATAAGACATGAATGTCATAAAAAATCATCACATATCCACTGTATGGCAAATAAACTTATAACAATGATTGTCAGGAGAGCTGACAGTTTGTACTTACAGGCTGCAGAAGATAGATAAGAGATGAATCTTGAATCACTAATACTGGGATGGAGGTGATTTTGACAGCATGATAGAGTGTCTCCACTGAAGCCATAATCTGGTCAAAGCGTCCCCCAAGTCCGCCCAACACAACAATGACATCCACCTTAATAAAGAATATAAAAGAGTGTGAAGACACAAGACAAAGAAAAAATTGGAAATAACCAAGAACATATCAGAAACATCACAGCTTGACATCGGTGTATTTGATGACTTATTCAAGAAAGCATACTGTTGTTTCCATGGAATACATGGCAGAAAGAAGGGAACAATAATTTTAGTTTAAACTTAGCAACGTTTCTTTACCAGTTATGGATCTTGAGCATACCATGTGCACACTAATGAATTTTAATAAAAGTGCTTAAGGCATATACGGTATGCCCTGAATCTCCACCACAGCTATTGAGCTGTCTGAATTTGACAGAATTAAACCTGTATATGTTGCAGCAGCATTGACAATCGCTCCTATAGTAAAACTGAACTTGCAAAAAACACTGTTTGTAAGCTCTGCTTACAAATACACTGTTACAGCGCATTTAGGCTTACTCTTGCATGTGCAGATCTTGATATTACCAAAGTAACACATTTGATAATACTATATATTGGTACTATGTTTGAAGATTTAAAGATACACGGGTTAACCTCATCATTATACAAAAAGATGCCTGTGTGTTGATTAGTAAATGATCAGCTCAGAAACGGTAATGCTACAGTCCTTCAAAAATACTTAAAAGCCTATCACTCCTACTAATAAACTCTTAAATCACACGCACCTGGGTTAAAATACCATTTCCACTGCCATTAGATTCACTAGATCTAAGCAAAAGAGATCTGTGTCTGTGGGTCTATAAAATTCCAGCTGAATCATAGTTAATTATTTTTAACCCAATGAAAAAAATCCTGAAGTTAAAGGAGAACTATGGGGTCAGTGCTTTTCCCCATAGTACTCCTAAGGGTAACAGGAGGACACAAACTAGCGTCCTCCCGCCACCCAAAGCTCAGTATACCGCGATCTACAGCTCGCAGAATACTGAGGCGCCGCAACACTTTGCGAAGGATGTTCGCTCACTTCCCGATCTACTGAGCCGACCTGTGACAGTTTCATTGTCACAGGTCGGCTCAGATTATGAGGCTCAGTGAAAATCACTCACCTCATAATTCTCTTTTAAGACAATACCACCTACCCAGTAACATGGCTGGATTTTCACATAGGCAACATGGACCATAGCTAGGGCCGCAGCTGCCCATACATAATGTTACTGACTACCAACAGCACATTCTTAAATATTAACAACCTTTCCAGACTGCTAATCTGACTTCAAATTCAAACCAGCTGAGCCATCATTGTTGCGTCTATACAGCATCCACATTTTTGCTTGTTTAAGAGTTCAGCTTTTCTGGGTCCCACTGCCGGGACAAGGTCATCCAGTGCTGAGGACATAGATGCCAAACTGTGCCCTCTCCCCTTCATTTTATTAAACTTAAGTCATTGTCTTTTAAAGACACATTTTAAAATAAATAGCTTTAATGAATTCAAAACAGAATTCACTCATAGCAGCCCCTCTTGCCCTCTTCTTGTCATGCAGTGTATATATATATTGGTGGTCAACATGAAAATTATAGAGAGCCTCAAGTGAGGCCCCCAACACTTTGCGAAGGATGCACAACAGGGTATGTTAAAGTAAACTGCACGAAGTTAGGAAGCCCATGCTGGGTTCTCATTACTAGGACCTCACTGCTAGCACAGTAAGATGAGTGTGTGCCCTACAATCTACCCTGTGTCTAAGCATGACTTGTGTGGCTATGATATCTTATGTAAGTGTGATGCTGAGGCTAGCTAGTTGACCAGTGTAGATGGGGGAAGCACAAAACAGTTAGCCTACAGATGCAAGAGGTATACATCTGGCCATGCCCAGTATTAAACACTCTGTACTCAACAATTCTCTTTTGATAAAACCAAATGTACATTCTGAATTCAGCAGTGATTCAGCTCAGTCCAGCTCAGTATTTCCCTCACTATCACTGCTCAGGGCAGCCTGCAGCCCTGGCTTGAGCCTTGGTTTATTGTTAGTTAGTTATTGAAGTGGTCAAACTTCAGTTCACTGAACTTTCAAGTTCTGTACGCTGAACTGTTAAAACGGACTTTTACACTTGAAAATCAAATTCTACCAATGCATCCCTCTATGTATGATGATTAATAATAACATATAAGGTGTAAAATGCTCTGATTTTGAAATACTTACACTTGCAGAGCATTCACTTCCTGCTTTGAAAGGTGCAAATAACAGTTTGCCAATGCAGTGCACACTGTAATTGCCTTGTCATAGCAGAGCATTGCTTGGAAATCTCATCTGTGTGAGTTTGGAAATCTCATCTGTAATCTCACGCGGTCTCAGGGAAAAGCATTTCCTTCTCTGAGATGATGTGCATGGTCACATGTGCCAGAAATTCAGGAAGTAATAGGAGAGCTAGCAATCTGCCATTAGTTAACATGGCCACTGTCAGAAGACTGGGAAAGAAAAGATAACTAAGGTGTGCAAATAATACAAAGCCGGCAATTATCTAGAAGTATGTGATTGTAGATTGTCATTACTATACATTTCTAAAGGTGTGTTTGTTGTTCTTTTAAAGATATGGATAAAGGTCCACTTTAAGTGGTCAAACCTTAGTACATAGTAGGTAATATTGCTACAAGATCGAAGGGTTTGTGATATCAATGGAGTTCTTATATTTAGATTTTTTTTTTTTTTTTTTAAGGAAATGCACAGTTCTAGTATCCACTTTTGTACTGACTACACTGGCCATGCTGCAGGATTGTCTGCATTTGTGAGCTACTATATAAAGTACAAAGACATAATATATACAGTGTACAGAATTACCTAATCAGTGTGCCTTTTTATTCTCAAGTAAACCTGCATTTATTTATTTCTGTGTAATCTATTATAGATTCTGAAAATCGTTGTACAATTTATCAGATTTATGCTAACTGGAAATAAAGCACATATTGAACACATTCACTGTACAGCTACTAACAAAGTAATGAAGTCCTCAGAGAAACTCTTCGCTCCTAGAGCATAATATTTAATCTACACTGAATGTGCAATATTCAGTGTGGAATCGTATGTAATAAGGACACACAAGGTAGTAATTCGTGTAATTTTCATTTAATGCTGCACAGTAATTTCACTACAGCTACTTTTAAGGGAATTTACCAATCAATTACATGATTACCAAAAAAAATATTTGTTATACTTGCTTAAAGTGGGTTTGTTCTGAGGAGACAGGAAAATAAAACTTTCTGAGGCATAACTGCAATCAGAATATCCTCAAATATTTAAATATTGAAAAGTTGATATTACAATAATTTTCTTGTTTAACTGATGTAATAAAGTACTAAGGATCTTCATGTATGGCATTTGTTATATATTAAAGAAAAGTTAGAAGCAAGTAAAACAAAATCATCTGCATTTTCTTGCCCATAAGCTTTGACCAGTCTTTGTCTGATTATACAATTAAAGTGAACCTGTCATTTTACATTTTAAAAAGTAAAAATCCTGTCTAACTGCAGATATCATGAGATGTCTATTTCTTTTTTCAAATCTCTAAAACTGGCCTCACTTTGTCACTGGGTTTGTAACTTGAGTTAAAGTGCAACAATAGGCAAAAACAAAGTTTAAATATATGATACATTCTGTCGATAGCATTAACATGCAGTGTTTTGTTTTACAAGTCTGCCCCATAGCAGTTCTATTACCTGAAAAACAGAAGCCTGTGCCACAATTCCAGTAAATGGGGAGGTGGGTTGAGAGTGGGGTGCTGGGAAATAGTTCCATGTTCTTTGTTACAAGCTAAATGTGAGGGACTTAGCTTTTTCTACTTTTTAAAACATTTTTTGCTATAATTATTAAAAAGTGATTGTTGGAGGGGAGGCTTTATTTATTTATTTTTGTTTCTTACTTAAGGTTGATTAAAAACTGACATCTTTTTATCAAAGTGAATAGGCTTGTGCTTCTACTCATTAGCTGTTAGATTGTACATGTACATAATCTGGAACCCCAATAGGTAAAAAGCTTAGCATAGCCATGCTAGGTTTGCTGGGATATATATATATATATATATAACTTCCTTTTTCAATCTACCCAGACATAAGGCATAACACATTCAAGGGATAGAATATTGCTATAGAATAGCTGTTTAACACAATAACATGGTTATTCAGAAAAGGGTGAAGAGTTTGGAGAAGGCAGGAGAAGTGAACAATCTAGGACAACATAGCTGAACTGGAAAGTGAGATGAATTGGAGAATTTTTCTAAATAAACTATACTGTCTTAGATTGTTCACTTCTCCTGCCTTCTCCAAACTCGTCACCCTTTTGTGAATAACCCTGTAAATATTTGTGTATCAACACACCTGCAGATTCCTACAAAAAGGTTAGGTTCAGCTGTTCTCCTGCACACATGCCAGTGGAAAGACTGTAATGTTTTTCAACTTTTATGTATCTAAAGACTGCACATTTAACACTTCTAAATTAGTACATAAATACTGCACATAAAACATTTCTAACTCACTACATATTATAATAACAGCTGTAATTAAAGTGACACTAAACACAGGAGTTAAATCTCAAAAATGTATTCAAGTACTTTAACTTTTAACAAAACTATACTTTCTTCATGCACACTGTAGATGATAAAATCCTTCATGAATTTGTGCTGACACTGTCCTTCCTTCTGAAGGGTGGCTACTTTTATTCCTGTATGTGTCGTAAAGTAGACACCGCTCCAAGGTCGCTGTTGTGATGGACTAAAATCTCATGTTTAGTTTACTAAGTTGTTATGAGATTGTAGTCCATCACAGGAGCGAGCTGGGAGTGGTGGCAAATTTACAACACACACAGGGACCATGGAGAACAAAGCAACCACCCTCCAGAAGGAAGGACAGTGTCAGCATGAATTCAGAGGTGATTTGAGGATCTTCAGCTGAGTGATACATAAATAAGGTACATTTTTTTTTAATAGTTAGGGTACTTGAGTGCATTTTTAAGATATACCTCCTGAGTTTAGTTTTACTTTCAAGCCCATTTCTAAGCATATATAACCGCTATC